TGCCGCGATGCCCGCTGCTTCGCCCGCGTGGAGCCGGCGCACAAGTCCCGCATCGTCGAGTACCTCCAGTCCTTCCACGAGATCACCGCCATGGTGAGTCCTCCAGGGACACCCCACCACCCTCTGGTCCCCACCTCTCTGCCCGGTCCCATCCTTTGCGCTCCATTAATCATGGCTTCATGCAGACGGGCGATGGTGTCAATGATGCTCCAGCACTGAAGAAAGCAGAGATTGGCATCGCCATGGGGTCAGGCACGGCCGTTGCCAAGTCAGCCGCCGAGATGGTGCTCTCTGATGACAACTTCTCCACCATCGTGTCAGCCGTGGAGGAGGGCAGGGCCATTTACAACAACATGAAGCAGTTCATCCGCTATCTCATCTCCTCCAACGTCGGGGAGGTCGTTTGGTGAGAGCCCCCCACACTGGCCACCACACTGGGGGGAGAAGCAGTGGGAACAAATGACCTGTGGTCCTGTCCATATCCCCTACTCCTGCCATCATGTGGTGCCCAAAACTAACCCTGGGTACCAAATGGAGCAGCTATGCCTTGTCTCGTTCCCCACGTGCAAGGGACTTGCAGTTTTATAGTCATGCAACCTCCCAGGAACTGTTTAGTTAATCCATCGCCTATTTAAGCCCAGTGTCTAAGGTGGGTGCAGATACTTGTGCACAGGCTGTTGTCACCAGGTCACACCAATGCACTTTGCATCAGGTCCTGGGTCGCTGTCCCCATCCCTCCCAGTAAATCAGTGCTGACCTCAGCAACATGGGCACAGCTTTGGGATCACTTGGGCATCGTTAGCCCTTGTGTTTCAGGAGGGGTGTCTGAGCTGGGAACTGGAACCCCCGCAGCCATGGGGACATAAGTGGTTGGGTTTCAACTGCAAAGCAGATTTTAATAGCAACAGGAATATGTTTTAGCTGCAAAATTCACTCCTGGACTTCAGGTTCCTGACTCGGGGGCTGCAGGTTCATCTGCAGGGCTTTGGGTGAATATTGAGTGTGGGGTATTTGGATCCAGTGTACCTGCTTGCTCTGCCCTTTCATGACACGGGCACTTTCTCTGGCTCATCTAATCCAGCATCTCTGGTTTTTACCCTGCAGCATCTTCCTTACAGCCATCCTGGGTCTGCCCGAGGCCCTCATCCCCGTGCAGCTGCTGTGGGTGAACCTGGTGACGGACGGGCTGCCGGCCACCGCGCTGGGCTTCAACCCCCCTGACCTGGACATCATGGACAAGCAGCCCCGCAACCCCAAGGAGCCCCTCATCAGTGGCTGGCTCTTCTTCCGCTACCTGGCTGTCGGAGGTGAGCCTCTGTGGGCACCATGAGCAGGGGATGAGGATGGGCATGTTGTGCCATGGGGCAGGGACCCCTTGCTGGATGCTGGAGGTAAGGGTGTCTCTCTTGGCTGCAGTGTACGTGGGCCTGGCCACAGTGGGTGCTGCAACTTGGTGGTTCCTGTACGACGCTGAGGGACCTCAGGTCTCCTTCCATCAGCTGGTGAGTTGGGAGGGGAACGGGCTGACATGTTGAGCAGGTGGGTGATGGCATGGAGTCAGGCACTGGGATATTTCCTCCACCTTTCTTCTCTGGTTGTTGCAGCGTTCCCAAATTCCTGGTGGAAAAGACAAAAAATAAAAGCAAATTCTCTCCCCCAGACTTGTTTCCAGCCTTGCTCCTGCCAGTGACAAGCATGGTGGGGAAAACAATTCAAACGAGCTGAAAGTAGCTCCTCTGCCTGATCCCACATTGAAAGGGATCAATTTTTCATTACTGCAGGTCCAAAGAAGGTGGTGGGAAAGCAGGTGCCATCACACCCCAGTGTCACATGCAACGGAAGATGTATTTTTGATGGAGATGTGTGTGTGCTCAAAGCTTATTCACTGCACGTGAAAATCTCTAAGCCCCTACCTAGCCACAACCCTAAAGCCCCAGCCACAGCAGAAGCTGGGTCACTTTAGACAGTTTTATCAGTTGCTCTGCACTGTGGGATATTTAACAACAATCCTAATAATCAAGGTTCATCATGTGCCCCCAACCAGTCACCCTCTTCCTCATTTTTCCTGCCTTTCCTACGCTGCTGCTCTGCAGTGTATTTACCAGCAGTTTCCTGTGCCAACAGAGGAACTTCATGAGGTGCACTGAGGACAATCCCATCTTTGAAGGAATCGACTGTGAGATCTTCGAGTCCCGATACCCGACCACGATGGCTCTGTCTGTGCTGGTGACAATAGAAATGTGCAATGCTCTGAACAGGTAGGGTGGCCAAAGGGTTGCTCTGAACATGCTGTGCATGACCTAGTTTGTGAAGGGCCTCTTTGAGCAGCTCTTGGTAGTCTGAGGGCTTTGCTTTGGCTCAAAAGAGCCACTTGGAGCATCCTCACAGAGGACCCCTGGGTTTGCTATACAGAAACTTCTCTAAGCCAGTGTGCTGCTGCTGGTAGTGGTGGAGGAAGGTCTGGATCCACATCTGTTAGTGGTTTTATTCTGTTAATGACCAGTCCTAATCCATGCATGGCTGGTTGTGTTGGGATGGGTGTCCAGATCCACTTCACAGCAAAGCCTGAAGATGGACAGTCTGGAAGAGAAGGGCTATAGCCTTGTACCTTGGAGAGGAATGGGAACCCCCAGCTTGGGCAGGGGCAGACGGTTGCT